TAAATCTGCACCCAATCAGATATTCACGGCACTTCGTTAACCCGAAAATAACGGCCAATGCTTCTTGCTCAATCACTGAATACCTAGTCTCTGCCACTCTGAAAATTCTTGAGAAAAATAACACCGGCCTCTCTACCCCATCGATAGCATGCAACAGCGCTCCTCCTACACCTTTATTAGATGCACCCATCGCCATATCACCTCCAATTCATTGTTAAAAAACACTAAAACGGGTTCCTTTCCTATTCGACCTTTTAATTCTTTGAAGGACTCCTCTTGTTCATTTGTCTAATCAAATTTTCATCCTTTCTTTAATAATTGATATAAAGGCGCTGCTATTTGAGAAATCCTTCCACGAACCGATGATAATAATTTACCATCCCCAAAAATGCCTGTACCTTTGCTTTATTACTGGGTCTTATCATATTATTAATTCCAGTCATATTTCTGTCCACAGGCCGCATCTCCTTTCCTGTGATTTTATGCCCCAGATAAGTCACTTCGGTAACCCCCAACTCGCTTTTCTCCCCGCTGGCTCTCAATCCTTTCTCCTTGATTCTTCAAAATATTTCCTCCAATCTCTGTTTATGTTGTTCAGGATTTCTTCCCGTCACCAAAGACATCATCCATATAGTAGAAAACTCCCTCCATTCCCTGGAAAACAGCAGCCATCGTACGTTGAAAAATAGGAGCTGAAACACTTAGCCCGAATGGTAATCTACAAAACGCGAACAATCCCCGGCATAGTAATCGTTAATAACTTCCTTATCTCCGGCTTTACCCGTAGTTGCAGATATGCATTAGAGAATAACACTTTTGAAAAATAAACAGTTTCTTTTAAACTAGCTAGTATTTCTTCAATTCTCGGCAAAGGATATTTAACCTCCACTATCCACGGATTTACTGTAACTCGAAAATCTGCGCATAAACGAAGTTTCCCATTGGCTTTCTTCACAGGCACTAACGGAATCGCGCATTCACTGTATTCCACCGGACATACAATACCTTTCCATACCCATTGATCCAACTCCAATTCCACTTCCTTTTCCCATTCAAACGGTATCCCCCGTAACGCACAGAACTTCGGAACGCAACCATCCTTTAATTTAATGTCTACTTCATAATCTCTTAGGCATCCTAAGTCTTTTTTGAAAATTTCCTATAACTTTGTACCAACTTCCGTACTCCTCCTCGCACTCAGGTCATGGCGAATTTTCTTCCCTCGTCTTCTTTAGTTATCAATTCTTCTTCCCTGGGCATTGTTCCTTCCTTCATTACCTCCCGATTTCCTTTCGTCTTTGTATTCATCATTTCTCAATTTTCTTGCGTCGTGGTATTCATCACTTCTCGATGTGACATTTCATTTCTTTTCTCCGCCTTTCCTTCCTCCTCCCACCACGTAATCCCGACCCCTCTCAACGGCTCCCACATTCCCCGGGTAATTTCTACCTCCTTCTTCTCTTAAATCATTATTGCTGCTTCTCTCCTGGAATTCCTTTCCCTTATTTTACCTTAAAGATTCTTTTTCCCTATTTCGCCCTTAGAGTTATTCTCTTTTATTTTCGTTCTATCATTACCCCTCTTTATTTCGCTCCTTAAATTATTTTCTCTTATTTCGCCCCTTGAATTATCGCTCCTTGTTACGTTCTTGGAATTATTTTTCCTTAGTTCGCTCCTTAAATTATCGCTCCTTGAATTATTTCGACTTGTTCCGCTCCTTGAATTATCGCTCCTTGAATTACTTTGTCTTGTTTCGCTCCTTGAATTAACGTTCCTTGTTTCGCTCTTGGAATTGTTTTTCCTCGTTTCGTTTCTTAAATTATCGCTCCTTGTTTCGCTCCTTGAAAGATTTTCGCTGGTTCCCTCATTAAACATGGTCTCAATTCCAAGCAACACATTCTCTCTCAAGGCAACGGCATATTCCTCACTCGTTATTGGTACAAATATACCCCACCATGAAAATACTCCCCAAAAACTATACCATGGACCAGGGTTGGGCAGTATCGCGGATATTTTTATCTTTTTTTCAATTTTGGAAAGTATCTTGTATCCAGTATCTAAGATACATATTATTTAAAAGTATTTGTATCTTAACCAACTTTGTATTCAAAAAGATACAGTTAAATAGTATTAAAATTTAAAATGATATTGTTTTAACATTTAAATGAAAAATTTAATCAGAATTTTTATATTTGAAAATAATTTATGATATATGACGTTTGTCCTCATATAGCAATTTGCTAACAATTAGAACTACCATATTTTATTTGAATCGTTTTATATCCGTCTATTTTAAAATAATGGAAGAAGAAAATAGAATAATATGTTTATATTCATCTTCAGATGATTCTCCAACCGAAAAATATAACTATAAGTATTTTAAAGATCAGCACTTCCGTGTATCTGGCCTAATTTCTAAAATTTTGGGTAAATTTGTCTAGCAAATTTATATTTGCAAAAATTTGGGCAGCACTTCCGTATACTAGGCTTATTTAGTAAAAATTCGCACGAATTTCTAATAGATTTATTTTCGCAAAAATTCGGGCAGTACTTCCGTATAATTTGTCCTTTTACTTAAAACCCATGGGTCAACAAAATCTTTCTCAATGAAACCTACCCAACAAATGGGTAAATACTCTTAATTGACTCTTGCTGACTATCACCGCCCAACAAATGAGTAAATACACTCTTAATTGACTCTTGCTTGCGATAACCGCCCAACAAATGGGTAAATACACTCTTAATCGCTTGTTCACGCAGAGGTCGCGAATTATGATGATAAATTATTTTTATGGCAATAACCCACCCCTCAGACAATGTCATACTCATCAAGACAAAAAAATGAATACTTTCAATCTTAAGATATTTAAATTAGCTTTTATTTGATACTAATATCCATATTTTATGTTGATAAAAATATTCCTGGCCCCCCAAGACATAGATCCGCCCTCTATGATTGATTATTATTATTAGAATAAAAAAACTTTAATTTCCTTTTATTTGATACCCATATAAAAAAAATTATTTTTTACATCGCACCATTCCATCCACCCCCCAGACCAAGTCATACCCATCAATACAGAAAATGAATACTTTCAATCAAAAGATATATAAATTAGCTTTTATTTGATACTCATATCGATATTTTGTTTTGATAAAACTATTCCTGACCCTCCGAGATATAGACCAGCCCTCTATGAGTGATTATTATTATTACAATAAAAAATATTTTAATTACCTTTTATTTGATACCCATATCAAAGAAAATTTTTTTACACCCTCTCCCCCTTTTTCCACCCCAAAGACAAAAAATGAATACTTTATTTAAACTACCTTTTATTTGATAACCATGTCAAAAAAATTATTTTTTAAACCCTCCCACCTCCATCCACCCTCCAGACTAAGTCATACCCATCAAGATAAAAAATAAATACTTTCAATCTAAAGATATTTAAATTAGCTTTAATTTGATACACATATCGATATTTTGTGTTGATAAAAATATTCCTGAACCCCCAAAACCTAGACCCACCCTCTTATGAGTGATTTTTTTATTAGAATTAAAAAATATTTTAATTTCCTTTTCTTTGATACCCATATCAAATAAATTATTTTTTACACTCCCCCCCCCCCTCCATTCACCCTCCAGACTAAGTCATACCCATCAAGACCAAGAATGAATACTTTCAATTTCAATCTAAAGATATTTAAATTAGCGTTTATTTGATACCCATATCGATATTTTGTGTTGATAAAAATATGAGTGATTATTATTACAATAAAAAATATTTTAATTACCTTTTATTTGATACCCATATCGAAAAAAATTATTTTTTACACCTCCCCCCCCCCCCCAGATCAAGTCATACCATCAAGACCAATAAAGACTTTCAATCAAAAGATATTTAAATAAGATATTATTTGATACCCATATCGATATTTTATTTTGATAAATATCAGAGACCTGCAGAGGTACCATTTGCATGGCCCGGCCCGGATATTTTTTAAAAAAAATTTTTACGGCCCGGCCCGGATTTAAAAATTAAAGGCCCGGCCCGGATATTTAAAAAAAAAATTTCAGGCCCGGCTCGGAATTTTTTAAAATTATATTCGACCTGGTATATACAAAAATTCGCCTATGAGGTATTTTACCATATTTTTCAGCGAGTATTATCGCTTAATTTAAAAAATACATGTAAAAAGCTAATATTTTGAGAATATTCTATATCATTTTATTTATATTATAATTTCAAGTTTTATAATAAACCACTTATTTATACAATCCTATGACATAGATAAAAAGTACAAAGTTGAAATATTGTTTACAATTTTTAAATATTATATTAAATTATATATAAATAAATTATTCATTACGCGATTAAAATAATATAAAATATATTCTAATCATCATGTGAGATGAGGCTGCCAATGAAGCTGATCTAATTGGCCCTGTGAATTGGTATTGCGAGTCTTTGTCTTAAGAAGAAGCCTTCACGAGGTTCATCTGTTAGTTTGCGGATTAGCGATCCAAGTTCCTTGAAGAAAGAAAGAGCACGATTCCCAAAGGTAGTCAAGGTAGTGGAAATGATGGGAATGAATAAGTGATCTTGGCATATCTCTGAATATTTTGCAATTTTTAGAAGCTCCTTGTTCTCCAGAATGTTAAGGGATTGATTGGAAGGAGCCAATGGATCAATACAAGAGTAATCCCAGACCAAGAATTGACCTCGCTTCCAGGGAATTTGAGAGATCCCGTCAGGGCGTTTCCCATCAGATCTGAAAAGACCAGAGGGTTCGAGCAGAAGGAATTTGAGCGGATCTCAGAGCTCTAAGAATTATAGAATTGCAAATGTTATGTCTAACGATGCTGCCTCATGAACGACAATGTAGACTATGCCTTCCATTACTCAAAACAGCAGAACTGCAGCCGGCACAGATGTGGGGTTGGGTTACTAAGCAATTTAAACGGATGCCTATAGCATGAGTTAGCTCATTTTGGGTCAATTGTAATTGTAAGTTAGCGGCAGGAATGGCTTCGAGAAACTCATGTCCAGAACCATTAAGCAGAGAGGAGAATAAGGGACGGTCCAATGATTGCATACTGGAAAGGAGAGATTCGACGCAGCTTGCAATAATGGGCTTATCTCAGTCCTTCTGCTTGTTGTTTCTGGAATTGGGTGGTCGGCAATGAATCGAGATTTACATTCAATGATGGCACTATCAAAGGAAGGGTCAGAATTTAAGGAATTAGGATTGACTAAATTTTTGGTTAAAAGACAGCTCGATATAAAGGCAGTTAAGGCAAGATCGGAAGGGGATCTGATGCCTAGTCCTCCCATCTTGGTAGGAAGGGTGGCTTGTGTCCACGCGAATTCATGGAATTTTAGATTAAGGATACTTTCAATTAAGACTTTAATCCCATTTTCATAAATGCCTAAGGAAGTGGGAAATTTAAAAATAGGGGTAGAGCGGAGCGCGTAAAGAATTTTTGGGATATTGAAGAAATTTTTCAGGAGAAAAAAGGCTTTATGAGAGGGGAGAAGGGAAAATAGGTCAGCTAACTCATTAAGGGTTTCGAGTGTTGATTGTAGGAAGGATGATATGGCTGTGTGTCCACCAACGGGAGCACCTAAGTGAAATAATTCCTCCAGAGTAATCTGTTTAAAATTATGAAAATTGTTTTCAGATGAATTAATTAATATAAATTCTGATTTTTCATGGTTGATTGATAGACCAATGGATAGCCCTGCATCCTTGATTATCATTACAGCTTTATTGATTTCGTCGTTTGGACCACAAAGGATTCCATCATCGATGTACCATGCATGCAATGATAATGAACATGCCTTGTTAATAGATTTAACAATTTCATTGATCCCTAAACAGAAAAATAAAGAACCTGAGGATCTCCCTGTTGTATGCCCTCAATCGAAGGAATTTTATAGGTATCAAATTGGAGAGTGGAAGGCTGTTGATAGCATGAATAAAAGAATTTAGTGTAACCAGGAAAGAGAATACTCGATGAGCTCAGAAAGGAATTCCGAGAAAGAGTGTTATAAGCATTGTTGAAGTCGATTTTGACTAAAGATTCGTTGGTTGGCTGGGTTTCTAAGTGTATTCTCGTTAGATGAACAACAGCTTCACAGCCGCCAGGTATACCAACTCCAAGTTGGAAAGGACTTAGTATATTTGAAGCTTCATGCTTTATTCGAGAGGAAATCGTTTTAGCTACTAACCGACGAAAGGTCGAGCCAATTGCAATCGGTCTTAAATCATTATTGGGTTTTTGAAGGGCTATTAGCCTGGCACCGAAAAGAATAGGGGAAACAAAGGTTGGCACATCACCTTTTAAGATTTTGTTGCAAAAGTTTGTAATTTTGGAAAAAATGGAAGTTTGAGAACATATTAAGGGGGAAGTAATGTCCTGGAGAAATATAGGACGGATTCCACCAAGGCCATGTGCTGAATCTCGATGAAAGGAAAGGATAGCTTTCCTCACTTCATCAGTGGTAAATTGTGATGCGCATGTTAAGTGAGGCTGTAGAGATATAGGGGTTATAGTTGTAGAAGGGTGTTTTTTGCAGAGCTTCAAGTATGTGTCATAAAAATGGTAATAATATTTTGAGCATTTACTATATTTTATATTGCATTTAAAAAAAATAAAACTAATATTTAATTTATAAAAATAGAAAATATTTTGAGAATATAATATATTGTATTTAATTTACTATTTAATTTATTAAATAAAAATAAATCGCTATTTAAAAAAATGCATATATAATAAATAGTATTTTGAAAATATAATCTAATTGCACAATATTAATATAATTAATTTTATAATATAAATTTTTAATAAAAGAAGATAATTGTATTCAGGGATCCAAACCGAACCTGAACCGAACCGTTAAACCGCTAAAAACCTGTATTTTTTATCGAACCTAAACCGAACCTAAACCTCTAAAAAATTCCTAGCCGAACCTAAACCGAACCGCTAAAATGCCTCTGAACCGGTTCGAGTCTCATAATTTTATGCTTATAAAATAATGTGTAAGTTATTACTAATAGTATATTGCAAAAATTTTAATTATATTCAAATTGTTTTAAAAATTATTATCAATCACATTTGATTGATAAACGTCAGTCATATTTTTTATAAACTATAGTATATTGCCATTTTGCAATATTTTTTAAATATTTTAAGCTTATAAACTATAATGCCTAGAAAAAAATTAAATCTAATATATAAATTATTTACATATAGTATTATAAATGACACATCAAATCTGATATCATACTGGCAATGCCAGTTACCCAAGTTAGTGTAGAAGGATGTTTTTCAACAATTAAATTTATATTATCTCCTTATAGATGTAATTTGAGTGAGACGAATTTTGAAAATATATTAATTGTGCAGCTTAGTAAAAAAAATTTAAGTAATTGTTCATATTTAAATTAATCATTGATATATTTATTTGTTATATTTGTGCAATTAATAAAAATGAAGGTTTTTATTTTAATTATGAAATAAAAAAAAAATTTTCCTGATACATAATCCTTATGTAGGTTTGAATACAAATGTGTTCAAACCGGTTTTTAGAGGTTCGAACCGAACCGATATTTTTATTTTTTGCGAACCGAACCTGAACCTTAAACCGTTATTTTTATCCGAACCTGAACCGAACCGATATTCGTTTCGGTTTGGATCCCTGATTGTATTATATAATATTGTAAAAAAAAAATGAAAAATGTTGGATTAAAAACTTTCATGACTCAAGGTAAATATAATAAATGCAATAAATATTTGACAGTTTGCAAAGTAAAAAACCAGCATGATTGACGAAACCATATACTCAAGAAAGATATTAAAAATTCACAAATTATCATGAAGAAAGAGAAGCATATCTACCTTTTCAGGTTGAAGATTACTTCTTCTTTCTTCAAGAATTCTCCCAGTAGTGGAAAAATTCCGCTCACAGCTTGCACTTGAAGCAGGAATTGCCAATTTTGCTAAAATTGGAAATTCGATTTGATCAGCCGCCCACCACTCTAACAAATTATCCACCTTAAATGTTTCATCTATTTTTTTATTTTTTTATTTATGTAATTATAATATTCATCATCGGGTATTAACATATTACCAGAATTACCATCGCCCCATTTGTCATAAAACGATTCAGTTTAACAACAGTCGTAATTTGACTGGTCGATGGTATTTCATTTACTTCCTGAGCCTCTTGTAATTTAATATAATCTTTTATATAGTTTTCCGTCATTTTGCGATCTGTCCCTGACTACATACGTAATTGCTTGAATTTGAGACAGAGAAAAAGAGAAATAAAATGATACTTGTGTAAAACAAATTTTTCAATTAAAAAATGCTTTATATTAAGTAAAATCAATTTTATTTCTCCTTTTTCGCTTTGAAAGGTATTACAAACTTTAAGAAGTGATATTCCTTTATTTGATTGTTTTGGTAAAATATATTCTAAAAATTTAGATATGAATTATAAAAAAATATATTAATAATACTTGAATATTGGGGCTTATTTAAGATATTCCTTTATTTGATTGTTTTGGTAAAATAATTAATAATACTTGAATATTGGGGCTTATTTAAGATATTCCTTTATTTGATTGTTTTGGTAAAATATGTTGTAAAATTTAGATATTATAAAAAAATATATTAATACTTTGAATATATTTGCAGGAAATTAATAATTAGATCGATCTGTGGGTGTTAGGTAGTGTTAACCATCACCCAATATTATATTAATCATAATTATAATATAATATAATCTTATAACCATTAACACATAATGTAAAAATTTTTATAAAAAATATTAAGGCCCGGCCCGGCACGGGTTTAATAATCTTAGGCCCGGCCCAGATATATTTTTAAAAAAATTTTTTAGGCCCGGCCCAGCCCGGATATGTTTAAAAAAAATTTTTTTAGGCCAGGCCCAGCCCAGGTATATTTAAAAATTTTAAAATACGGTCGGGCCGGGTTTAGGGCCGGGCCGGGTTTAGGGCCTGGCCTGCAGGGCTCTCATAAATATACCTGACACCCCAGATCTAGACTCGCCCATTAAGGGGGAGAGATTGACCTCCAGTTGAATAAATCTTTTGATTAGCTATAGATTGATACCCTATATTAGACATATCTTATTTCATAAAGCCTAAAAAACACCATTGAAAATAAATAAATAACAATTATAAAAAAATAAAGCCAAACGCGCGTAAGACGCGTTTTAAATTAAGATTCTTCTATATCATGGTTCAAACGTGATAATACGGTATAGTTGTTTATCCTTTAAAAAATTGAATTCTTAAAGGGATCCCTTTAAACCCCGTGATGATCCCGGATAGTTCTGATCCCTTTAATAATTGCGACATATATATATAAATATTCATTAAATATTATGTTCGAGTTTATCCTTAAACCAGACAAATTTTAATATAACAATGCACTCAAGGAATTTGCCATTTAAATTTTCAATATAATTGGTTAATTTTATTTTATTATGCTAATTTTACAAATTTATTTTAGATTCATATTTATAGTGACGAAGAGAAAGAAGTAATAATCAATGAAGCATCAACAAGTTCAGATAGAGCATATTTTAATAATATCTCAAAATAAAGAAAACAAATCTCTGATGGTAAAATGTTTGCCATATCTACCAAAAATACGAAAATTTTAGTTAGCATTACCTCAACTTGCAACATTGTAAAACATTTAAGGGTATAGATACTAAATAAATGTTTACAATTTGCTAAATGTGATATCGACTCAATAAATTTTTTAGCTCATTTCATGCATTTTTACAATAGAATCCTAATTTAGGTTATGCAAAGCTTATATCAGAGTATGATAAAAATTGTATCTGTATCTAGATACATTTTATAAATTGTATCTATATCAAGATAACCTTTTAGCCGATGTAACTGTATCTGGATCTAGATCCCTTTTTAGATGATGTATCTGTATTCGTCTCTAGATCCACTTAAAAAGTATCTTTTAACAACTTAGCAAAATTGCATGCCATTGGTATTATATTCAGAATCCTCTTCTTAACATGGATATTAACAAAGTATACTCTATGCATTTAATAACAAATTTCGAGATTAGGAATATCATAGATTTATATAAAACTATATCACAATTTTAAAATAATACTTTGAACGTTAAAAGTAAAACATATATACGTAATTTAAAAATATATATTAAAAATATCATGTAAACTATTTGTAAATTAAAATCTATATAAAAAACTGTATAATAACCCTCCTTTAATAACAACTCATTCGTGCGAGCTGAAAACTCTAAAATTAATAAATACACTTCCCTAACTAATTGCAATTTCATACCAGTCGTATCCGACACAACCGGTTTTTTGGAAATCATGCCCTAACCTTCTTCAAATCTCTTGGTAAAAAAATCCGCGCCATCACTGGTGACCCACAGGAAGGCTTCTATCTCAGATAGCGCATATCTATTGAACTGCATTGCCATCCACGGCTCTCTTTCTTGACCTCCTCCCACCCAACATACAATTTACTTTCATTAATTGTTTTACTCTTAAATTCCTAGAGACATACTTTGACATTAAATTCTCCTATATTCAGCCCACATGTCATAGACTCTAATGGATCCAGCATGGAGGCACGCGTCCTCTCTTATTTTACCTTGGTATTCGTGATCTCATCAAAAATAAAATAAATGAAGTTTAAATATCTTTGAAGTTAATTTTAAAAGACACATTCTTAATAAATCCAAACTGCTTCCAATGATAACAATTAATGCAAAATAACAGACCTATTATATTTCATAGATATTTACTTATATAACCTTTTTAAAATAAATAATCATACAAAATGCAAGTGGTTAAGCTAAATTTCTTAATTTGATAGATTTCTTTTTATTGATAATTTATAGTGTTGTGTGAACGAAGTTCGTTTTTTTGAAAAAAATGATGAACGGCGTTCCTTTTATTTTTGACGAACTTTGAACCTACTCGTTTCTTTTTTTTTGACGAACGCGTTCAAATTTAACGCAATTTTAAAAACACATTTTATTTTTATTTATTTGAAAAATTTAATATTAATTCGAATTTTTTTACATATTTTTTAATCAGCTGTTTTTCCTTTTTCACATTTCAATTTTTTAACAAGCCATTATTATAGTTTCTTAATTTGAATATTATTGATTATATTTTAATTTAATAGATTAGTGTAAGCATGGATATTATTATTTCATTAACATCCTCTGATTCTGAAAATTAAAAATCAGATGAATTAACATTGCCATGATCCAAATATGATAAATATTTTACGGAATTCAATACTTACCAAATGTAAAATGTGCCCAAAAAGTTTTATATCAGTTTCAAAATCTTCAGTTCCAATTTAAACCGACATTTGATTACAATATTAATTATTTTATTTATATAATATAACTAAGTAAAATCATTAAATAAGAAGAAAAAATGCATTCAGACTTAAAAATTAAAAAAATTATGATCAACCATTGATAGAAGCAGTATTAAATGGGATTAATAAAAGATATTAAACCTATCAATATCAAATTAATTACATATATTTTTTTTAAAGATTAGAACATGTATATGAAGATCAATATGTTTTTTCTGTAATTATATACCCAATATTCAAGCCTCAATGGCCATGGATAAAACTTCCACAGAACGAACCTAATAAACTTATAGCGTTATTGAAAACCCTAGAAATGATAATGCAATAACTGTTAATTTCGAGATATCCTCTTTTTTTTGACTAGGAAGTAGAAAATAGATTGGAGGAGGCTAACTTATCTCAATTATTTGAAGCAAAGAGCAGAACAATAAATGTTTTTAATAAATTCCACGCGTTAGAAGAGTTGTTTATTAAGTATAATCCCCTCATTTGCGTAGTGCGTGTTTTTAATATAGATAATGTCGTATTAACTGCCAGCGTTTTTGTCTATCAGATGAAAATTTTGAAACATTGTCATTAAAAATTAATAAGAAAAATTTTTTATAAATAAAAATATTATTTATTCGCTATATTATATTGCATTTATAATTTTAATATCAATAAAACTATATTATTTTTTAACATGGCTAATATAATGGGTTAAAATATATAAGACATTTAATTATATTTAATTATATTTAAAAAAATTTATTTGAACGAATGTGAACGCGTTCGATTTTTGTCAATGAAGGTTGAACGCGTTCGATTTTTTTAGAAATGTTTACAGCACTAATAATTTATCTAAATAAAATTTGTTAGATTTTATAGTTATGAAAAATGATATATAGCCAGCAGCCCAATATCTTAACGCCTTCTATGGGTTGAGTATATAAAAGTTGATTTTCGTAGTATAATTTATTATTTTAGAAAAATAATATGACTAAAAGAAAACTATAAAAAATTTAACCTTATGAAGATGGTAAAATGTGTTAGAAATAAGTGGATGAATGTTTGAGTTTGGTATATTGATTACCATTGGACTGAATACATTTTTATTGGAACAAATATTTTTTTAAAGAACACTATTGGCTAAATTTGATTGACGTTTTTTAAGGATTATTATAGATGGGTAATAACACTTATTATATAAAGGTATTTATAATCATCACTTGATTTTACTAAAAATTTATTTTTAGATACCTACATATACGAATGCACCATTTGGAAATAAAATAAATTAGTGTTATTAATCGACTGAGTCGAATCGACTTAGTCGAAAATTGAGCCAAGTTCGAGCCGTGAACTCAAGTCAACTCGAGTTGTGAACTCAGTGGACTAGATGCGTGAACTCAAGTCTATATATTTGAGTTGACTAGAGGATAAATATTTCTATGAATTTTAGTCGTCAATTTGAGTCGACTAGAGGACGAATATTTCAGATTTATTATTATTAATTAATATATTTGTTCTGTTTTTTGCATTTTTTTTACTTTAGACTTCTAACGTGAGTCCTGAATAAGAATTATATAATTGAGTCGAATAGAGAAGGAATAGTTCTATGAACTTGAGTCATTAACTTGAGAAGACTAGAGGACGAATATTTCTATTAACTTGAGTCTTCACTTTGAGTAAGCTAAAGGACGAATATTTATTTATTAATAATAATTAAGATATTGGTTCTATTTTTACATTTTATTACTTTAAACTTGAGTCGTGAATAAGAATTATACATTTGAGAGAGGACGAATATTTCAAATTAGTAATACTTTATTAAGATATTTGATCAGTTTTTACATTTTTATATTTTAGACTTCTAACTTGAGTCGTGAATAAGAATTATATACATGAGTCAACTAGAGGACAAATAGTTCTATGAACTTGAGTCGGCTAGAGAACGAATATTTAAAATACATTATTAATTAAGATATTTGTTTAGTTTTTGCATTTATTTTTACTTTAGACTTCCAACTTTGAGTCGACTAGAGGACGAATATTTCAAATTTATTATTATTAATTAAAATATTTATTCTGTTTTTTACATTTTTTACTTTAAATTTCTAACTTGAGTCGTAAATAAGAATTATATAATTGAGTCGACTAGAAGACGAATAGTTCTATGAAATTGAGTTGTCAACTTGAGTCGACTAGAGGACGAATATTTTAAAGTAGTTAATATTAATTAAGATATTTGTTCTGTTTTTTACATTTTTTTACGTTAGACTTCCAATTTGAGTCAACTCAAGATATGAACTAAAGGAGAATATTTCATAATTACCTTAAATTAAAAAATAGTTTTTATTTTTGTTATTTAAAAATGAAATTAAGAATTTGTAGCCAATTTTTTGGAAAAGATCCTACGTTATCTTATGTGATAAAAAAATTAATTTATTTGTACATGAATTATTAAATCTAAATTATTATTTTAATTATATATAGATGTGATATCACTTTAATAAATTTTTTAGCTCAGTTTCTGTACCGAGATACATTTGTAAATGTATCTGTATCTAAAAAGTTTTAGACGATGTATTTAGTAATTTTATCCAGATTGTAACGTTTTAGATGAACTCCCGATTCAAATAGATTCTAATTTAGTGATATTGGCATTTATGACTGACATGTTAAGATTTAACCTTATTTTTTTTAGTGATATTGACATATTTGATTGAAGTGGGAGTTCGTTTAAATCAGATTTATGAAGAATCTATCAAAATCAATTGTAAATATTGCTGGCCTACAAAAATTGCAAAGTAGTAAATAATATATCCTTCTAATATCTTAATTTAATTAATTTTAGATAAAGTATATTAAATGGCATAAAAACCTATTATTCTACCAATACTCAACTTTGCAAAGTAAATGATTGTAAATTTTTCTAATAATAAATTTTAGCAATTTTAATAGAATATTTATTTATTTTAAGTATACCTACTAATTTTTTATTTCAATTAGCTATTTAAATTTTTGCTAACTTAAAAAATATTGCAAATTTACAATAAATTAAATTTTTGGATATGATCTTGGGCCTGATAATTTTTCATTCCAATTAAGTTTATTTAAATCTTTGCTAACTTAAAAAATATTGCAAATTTTTTCTATATGATATTCAGTATTGCAAATAAAATGATTGCCTAAATACACTGAAATATTCTTTATTTTATTGTAATTAGGTTTATTTAAATCTTTGCTAACTTATAAAAATATTGTAAATTTACAATAAATTAAATTTTTGGATATGGTCTTAGCATGATAATTTTTCATTCCAATTAAGTTTTTTAAATCTATGCTAACTTAAAAAATTTTGCAAATATTTTCTATATGAAAAATTTCAGAATCGCAAAATGATTGCCCTAAATACACTGAAATATTCTTTATTTTATTTTAAATAAGTTTATTTATATCTTTGCTAACTTATAAAATATTGCAAATCTATATGATAAATTTCAGTAATGCAAACAAAATGATTCTAAATACACTGAAATATTCTTTATTTACATTGAATAATATATTTATTGTATTTAAGTTTATTTAAATCTTTGCTAACTTAAAAAAATATTGCAAATTTTTTCTATAAGATAAATTTCAGTTTGCAAACAAAATGATTGCCTAAATACACTGAAATATTCTTTATTTTCATAGAATACTATAAATTAAATTTTTGGATATGTTTTTGGGCCATTTATTATATATATTATTTTTTTATTCATTTCAACAGTTGTTTTTGATACCAAAATTATCCTTTGTTTCCCCAATCAAATGACGAAAGACGATAAATCAAGGAAATAAATTTTGTTTAGTATATTTCTATTCATTTTAATAGAATTCGATGAGATACAGGATTATATCCTTTACCAAAAATATCCATCATCTATGTCTTCTAATAAAGGCTTAAGGCGCAATCTGCGAGTTCAGGCCTCGAGATATAAAATTTGTAAGGGTAGAATGCATCACCATTCTCATAATGGTGAAGTTGTTTTGGACCTTGACCGAAGAATTCAACTTCTTCAAATGGTTCACAGTGGATGTGATACTAATGTGTCAGCAATATCTCTTGCTGCCCATTTTGGTATCACCAAGACTTACAGCAAATTGGCTGATATGTAAAATATATAAAAATTATAATATTATATGATCAATAATATATTTTTAAATATAATACACAATAATAAATTCAATTTTAGATTGTAACAGAAGAGTTTAACTTCTTTAAAAAGTTATATTGGAGTGGATGTGATACTAAGCTGACCATTTTGGTATCACCAAGACTCACAGCAACTTGACTAGTAGGTAAAATATTTCTGCATAATAAATCTATATATTATATCATGTATTATATTTTTAGCTTCTGTAGGCCAAATATGAAATTGGATGGTTAATTTTGTAAAATGTTGTGATATTTGCCAGCGTAGCAACACAAGGTTTGACAAAACTAACAATGAGTTGCATTCAATTCCTATTCCAACAAAGGTATTAAAGTTGTACATAACAAATCCTTAATTTGAAAATTTTTATAGTTTGGTCATTATAATTGTTTCTAATTTTTGTTTATGTATTTTATATTTTTCATTTGTAGCCTTATTAATGATCTGTCTATTATAGCTTATATGTATGTGGCACTTGTTTTTATTAGTTATGTTAGTTTCATATATTGAACCATTTAAATTTTATTGAATTTTTTTACAAGAAATATAGTTTCTTTAAGGTTAATATAATTCCAAAATAAAAATATAATTTGCATATAATCTACTATTAAAACTTATAATCTGAAAATATAATAAATAAAATTAATATAGTCCCCTTCAATCTCAGGTAAAAATTGATATATATATCATAATTTCATTTTTTAGCTAATTTAGATTTTACCTCATTCTTTATTATTATGTTTTTTTTCAGCTGCAATCATAAATAATGGTAAACAGCTTTACTTTATTACATGACACCTAACCTCCTAATGGAGTATATAATATAACAACAATCTTTTATTTTACAAAAGGTATGGACACAAATAGGTGTTGATTTAAGTGCTTTGCCTGAAAGTGAGGATGGCTATAAATACATTGCTGTAGCAGTTGATTATTTCGGCAAATATATTGTAGCCATGACTTTAAAAGATAAAACAGCAAAATCGGTATCGCGCTTCCTTTACTCGTTACTTACTATGCACACATGGTAGGGCAAAAGTATAATAAATTTGGTAATAAAATATTAATATTATATATAGATTCAAATTAATGATCAAGGACGTGAGTTCGTGAATGAAATAAGCAATAATTTTCACAAACTCATAGGGACCATACAGAGGGTGACAAGTGCTTATCACCCTCAAACAAATGGCATGGTTGAAAGAGTGAATAGGACAATCCAAAATGCACTACTAAAGTGTATTAAGGATGATCAATTAATTTGGACAGATGCCTTGCCTGGCATGATATTTGCCTATAACACTTCTCTACACGAATCTTCGAAGTTTACACCATATGAGCTGATGTATGGTAGAAAAGCAAAACAAGCTTATGGGGTATGATAAATCTCATTTTATAATCATATACTATATATTATGTCTCTATTTAAGATTGACGAGGAAGAGGATATTGATCCTGACAATGTACCTGAAGCAGATTTGGAATCTTGTTTTCAAGATACAGTTTCCAGGATGAATGATATTCATGAGATAGCTGCTGGCAATATAGATCTTGCTCAGCTTAAACAGCAGAGGGATTATAGAAGTCGTAATGCTGGTAGAAATAATCATTATTTAGTCAATGATCAAATGCTTATTTGGAACAGCCGTCGGGCTGATAGGAAAGGTGGTAAAATGACCAGTCCTTGGATGGGTCCTTATACAATAGTTAGGATTCTTAAAAGTGAAATTTATCATTATTATTAAATTATTTTTAATATTTAGGCAATGTTGAGCTCATGAATGCTAGCGGTAGCATTTTAAAGAGCAAAGCAAATATATGTAATATAAAACATTACTTTGCAAGAAAAGGTATATAATTGTCTTAATTACTTAGTAATATACATATTTTTTAGATGATAAAAACTCTGAGGTAGTGAGTTATAATGAGGAGTTAAATGCTCAAGAAAATCACTTGAACGGTATTATTTATAAAACTCACATTAATTTTTTTAAATATTTAGTCTCAAAATTACTCAACACGATTATTGGGGAAGAGAATAAGAATTGTGAAGACCAAAAATATAAAATATTTATTATTATATGTATTTTTTAGATGATGCAGATTTTAAGAGGATAAAGATATTAAATGATGAAACGAAGATGGTAGAGCTTGGTAGCCATCGAGAAAATAGTAATATTTTTATAAATCGATATAATTTGTTTTTTAAATTATTAGTTATGCCTTCTAATCCTAATATTTCAGCTGTAATTGACAAAGTAGGACTGTTTATTGAGAAAGGTATTAATATGTGTTATTATTTAATTATGCATATTTTTTAGATAATGAATTGACAGTAGAGACTGTAATTTCTAAGAAAGATGATGCAAATCTATTTCTTCCCACCAACAGAATATGGTAAATTTATCATTCTGAACGTTTTCATTTTGCGATCAAGAAAAGATATCCAAAATATGATAATGGTGTAATGGGAGATAATTTTTCTACCGAGCGGATTATTGATGATGGAAATTGTCTCTTCAGGTATACATATTTAAAATAAATTATTGTTAATCATTATTGTAGATGTATAAGCAAAGAAGTTTGTGATGACGAATGCCACTACGATTTTCTGAGACAATGCATTCTCTTTATGAGAATCAAAGATATTGTTGAGCAGATGGAGGGGTTTTTGGGAGAACCCGTTGACAAATATTTGGAGAGAACAGGCATGGCTCAAAATGCAACTTATGGAACAGAGGTGGAGATAGTTGCATTGGCAACTATGCTTAAAACAAATATAATTATCCATACCATTTATAAATGGGCATATTATATACCAATTAAAAAAATTAAGTTGCATTAAAAAATTTAATTTGAATATATATTTAAGAAATTATCGCGAACATTTTGACAGCATAATAAATTTTAATTAATCTTATTTATATCGTATATCTTATTTATACCGTATATCTTATTTATATCGCATATCTTTATAATGCATGTCTTATTTACATCGCACATCTTTATAACGCATGTCTTATTTATATTGTATGTCTTATTTATATCGTATATCTTATTTATATCGCATATCTTATTTATACCGTATATCTTATTTATATCCCATATCTTATTTATATAGCATATCTTTATATCGCATATCTTTATATCGCATATCTTCATAACTCATGTCTTATTTACATCGCACATCTTTATAACGCATGTCTTATTTATATTGTATGTCTTATTTATATCGCATATCTTACGTCTTGTTTATATTGCATATCTTTATAACGCATGTCTTATTTATATTGCATATCTTTATAACGCATATTGTATGTCTTATTTATATCGTATATCTTATTTATATCTTTACACGTCAGTCTTAAATGTCTGTATTAATAAAAATATTATATTTAATCTTTACATATGAGTCATAAATGTCAGTATTATTAAAAATATTATATTTAATCTTTACACGTCAGTCATAAATGTCAATATCACTAAAATATTATATTTGATCTTAACATGTCAGTCATAAATGCCAAAATCACTAAATTAGAATCTATTTAAAACAGGGATTCACTTAAATATCTTTAACAATAGAAAATATAATACTTAATCTTTACACGTCAATCATAAATTATCACTAAAAATATTATATTTAATATATGAGCGTCAGTCATAAATGTCAATATCACTAAATTGGAATTTATTTAAAACGGAATTCATTTAGAACGTTGCACCGGGTCTATTTTTTATTTTTTTAATATAGCATTACATTTAAATTGATATATTTTTAAAGATTAACAAAGTTTTTATTTTTCATCACAAATTATATGTTTGCAACATAATTTCTTTTTATTTAAACATCAATCTTGATTAATATTGTCCATATTTAATTTCAATATGTATTGATGGAATGACGCTAGCCCTTGGAACAAAGGTTTACACCTCGCTTGGGATTATACGTGCGTTGTTTTGCAGATCTTTTTCTGCCAACTCCATCGCAAAAGCGAATAATACAAAAACCAATAAATTTTGCCACTTTAATAATGTTTTGTTAGTTCCAGCAACATCTGTGAATCATTTGAACTCCAAGCCCTTCAATTGAAATTTCTCGTTCCAACTGCATATCCATACATGGGTCATTAAGCCTCGACGACCATACCTAAATATAAATTTTCTTTTTTTTATAATTTTTTTTTTAATTCCCCTTCTTTTAATTATATATTTTTATTTATAGGTATAGTATGTTAATAATAAATTTGTTTTAATTTGTATTTAAACAAATGTAATTTTAAAATTCAATAAAAATAATTAATTTAAAATAAAATCTTACTTTGTTTACCCCCTTTTATTGTATATATATTTAATAATAATAATTGTTTGCGTTTCATTGTAATCGGAAATTATGAGGGGGATAAATTTGTTTATAAAAAATGAAAAGTAAAATAATATATATTTTATTTATTAATTTTTAATTACAGTAATAATATGATTTGTTGTAACACATTTTCATAATGTGAAAAATCTTTCTTATATATAATTAAAAAACTCTACATAATTAATGTAGAGAAATTTTTTAATAATAAAAGTTTTAGAAGTGTTTTTTAATGTTTTATACACATGTTTAAGTGGGAAAATGAGAATTTAAAAAAAAAATTTCTAAGATTTTTACAATAATTTTATTATTTTTAAAAGGGGAAAAAAATCACTGAAACTCGGGGAAATTTTTAATATTTTTTTATTACAAAATAATAAATATCCGATCGTTTGGATTGGATATTGGTGGAAATTTTCTTTATGAAAATTTTAAAATTGAAAAGGTGTGTGCATTATTAGAAAGTTAGGACTATAATTTATTTTGTTAAAATTTTTAAATGTACATTGTTAAATATGGATTATTATTATTATAATGGTTATTATTTAGCGAAAATTTTTATATCTTACATTAATTTAATTAACACCATTTTTTCATTTAATTGTTTAATAGATTTTTTATATAAATAAAGGATAAATTTATATATAGATTTTTAGTTAAAAATATAGTTAAATTGTAGTTTAATATTTTTTAAATACATTATATAATAAAACTTTTTTGTTTATTGCCTTGATCCCTGCTAACCTTTTCAAAATTATTAAAAATGGAGTATATTATTTAAAATTTTTAGAGAGGCGTATGCTATATTGGATGTTACTAAGCTAGGATATAAAATTTCTTTGTAAAATAGTGTTCTAGCTAAATTAATTTTGTGGGATAATTATCCCGATAAAAAAAAGTCAAAAATAAAGTCAATCTTGGTCTTAACATACTAGAGCTCTGGTATATCCACAAAATCGACAATACACATCAGTACGCCCTCCCCCTCCCCGCGTTGGTATAAGTGTATCGGTATATTAAATTAATGTAATGTTTATCCATAATTCTGATAAAAGCCTTAAATATTCTAAAAAATATATTAAAAAGTCTAGACTAAATTTAATTTAACTCTGATCTTCCCCATTCCTGGCTCAAGTATATAATATGTATTAACGACACAAGTTGGAAGTCTAAAGTAAAAAAATGTAAAAAATAGTATAAATATCTTAATTAATATTAACAAATTTAAAAGATTCGCTCTTTAGTAGACTCAAGTTCATAGAACTATTCGTCCTCTAGTCGACTCAAGTATATAATTCTTATTCACGACTAAAGTTAGAAATCTAAAGTAATAAAATGTAAAAATCAGAATAAATATTTTAATTAATATTAACAAATTTGAAATATTCGTCCTTTAGTCTACTCATGTTCATAGAACTATTCGTCCTCTAGTCGACTAAAGTATTTAATTCGTATTCACGACTCAAGTTGGAAATCTAAAGTTAAAAAATGTAAAAACAGAACAAATATCTTAATAATAAATCTGAATTTTTCGTCCTCTAGTCGACTCAAGTTCAAACTATTCATCCTATAGACTCAACTATATAATTTGTATTCACGACTCAGGTTGAAGTCTAAACTAAAGTTTAAAAAAATGTAAAAAAACAGAACAAATATGTTTAATTAATAATAATAAATTTGAAATATTCGTCCTCTAGTCGACTCAAATTGACGACTCAAGTTCATATAAATATTCGTCATCTAGTCGACTCAAGTTCATTGAACTATTCGTCCTTTAGTTGAGTCGTTTCGACTAACGACTCGAGACTTTGAGTCGGAGTCAAGTGAACTCGACTTTTTAACAACATTAAAATAAATCAAAAATTAAAATTAGATATTAGATATTAGGCAAAAAGGACAATAAAAGAGTAATATAAAAATATGTTATTTAACTTAGATATTTATAGGTGAAGGAAAAATTATGATGAAAATTTTTAGGAAAAAACTTTACACTTTATTGAATAATACATTTATTTTATTAAATTTAAATATAACACATATATATTGTTTGTATTTATTATTGTAAAAATTTAATTCGTATTTATTATTGTAAAAATTTATATGATTATTATCTTTTTTCGCAATATATATTCATTATTGATTTTTGTGAATTATATTTAAATAAAGAGATATTTACAAATGGATAGTTTATAATTATTAAGGAATAACATATTCAAAGTACACATAACAAGACTTATAAATTATAATCTAAAGGAATTATAAATGCTAAAAAAAATACAAAAGAAATTATATCAGGAATTTTTTTTATATAATTCAAAACATTGATCAATAAAATTATGTATATTCAATTTTGTTTTTCATAGGAAATCTGCCATAAATAATTTTTACCAAAATAAATAGATTAATAATATAAGTTTTATTTAAGATTTAAATCTGACAAAAATTAGAAATAAATATTTAATTTGAAATATCATACTATGAAAGGAAATTTTGCTTCCTGTACAATATTTTTGGTTACAGCCATATGCACTGCAATATATTATCATTTTCTTAAAATATAAAAAATATATTAAATTTTATAAAAGATATCAAATCATATGAAAAAAATTTAATTCAAAATGATGAATTTACTATAAAATTAAGTAGATAAATTGTTTTTCTGATATTATGTAATAAAAAATATAAGTCATTTCAAGATTATATAATATATCTTTCCTCACTTTGATTTTTTTTATTGAATATATATATATAAAATATTTAATTGAATTCTTATAAAAAATATTCATTCTAACTTGATTAGTCTAAATAAACGAAGAAAGAAGAATGACGTCCTTGGAGAAAAAGCAAAAATATTATTATATCTCTTTTTATTTCTCTTTTTCATAAGGTTTAAAATTAGAAAATAATATTAAAAAGGTTAAGTTATAAAATAAATTTATAACTAAAATAAAAATATAATTTGAATAAGTTAAATGAATACGCGTTACATAATAAACATATACTATTTAATAACCAAAATATATAATATTAATTTCTATAATATAACATTCTCCCTCTTCTAAAAAGCCTTCCCATAATTTCATCTATGAAGTCATAGAGAGTTAGTTGTCCAAATGGTTTATTGTTTTGGTTGTCAATGTTGCATCAGTCACATTTTAATTGTTGGCTTGTCCAAATCGTTGGTTTGTTTAAATCGTAAGCTTGATATCCTTATCGAAAGTTGTCTCCATAAATCATGATTTTGTCATATAGCTTGCTTGGTAGTACTCAGTTGTTAATATTATCATTTTTCAAAATTGTTATTATCAATAAGTGCGAATAATGAGAAATAATAGTTCATCAAGTTGGATACAAGAATAAATGAAGAATGATAAATCAATAGGATTGTTATATAATATTTTTAGTGTTTTAATTTTTCGCGTTTTAGTGTTCAATTTATTTTTTGCGTTTTAGTTATTTTTTCGCGTTTTAGTGTTTAAATT